AATTCTCTCAATTTTATGATTTGATAGAATTGTAAGACTTGTATTATATATATTGTAGAGTGGAATAAAATGATAGGGAGAGGTAAAAGAGTAGTGATTTTTCACATATTTAAAGAATTTATATATACCAAAAATGCGGGTTGAGATCGAAACCAGGACATGGCCTAGCCACAGTGACCGGGCCACCGAATACCTAGAACCAAGATCCAACCCAACCTTTATATACCTAGGCTAACCCCATCACCAGGTCAATGGTGCGGGCCACAGGCTGGCCCGGTTCACCCAAACCATATTCACAGCTCTACATATCTATATAGATTAGTTAAATTTGCACCCCAATTATTTATTAATACCCCACCAATTACTTTCCAATCATAGTTGATCTGGGTGTATATTCTTTTATTTCTTAAAAAAAATAATTTTCATTTATAGTTAATGTGGGGATATATTAATGAGTTTTAATATAATTTTAGTAGAAGATAAAATTGTAATAAACATAAATTATGAATTAGTGAAGATATTAATGAATTTTTGGGGTGCAATCATATAATTATTCATCTACATATTTATGGAAAATAAGAGGGCATAATACAAGCTTTTTTTGAAGCTATAATAAGTGCCTCGAGTTGAATGCCAATAAGGATATGAGCTCGTATAAATCATTCATAACTTTCTCGATAATTCTCACTTGAAATATTAATTAAGGAACAATAATATCTATTTAAACAAAATATGAACATAGCATTATTTTTGAAAATATATATATATATATGTTACTAATTTCATGCTCATTGTTTTCTAAAAAAAAAAAAAAAACATATAGGATATATGACATTAAAATCATATTATATCATGAACAATATAAGATAATCTCCGATGTAAATGCACATGTCAATTGTATATTTGACACTAAAAAGTGAGATAGCGCGTGTTAATTTCATTTGTTCTAATGCATAATATTATTTAAAATGTTAAACCCTACTTTTTTTATAATTATTAAGTTTCGAAAGTTGTCAAAGTAAGTTTTTAATTTTAAAATAATTTGAAAAAGTAAAAGTTGTAATGATTGAATGAAAAAACAATTATATCAAGCAGTAGGAATCAAGTGCCAAATTTTAAATATGTTATATTTAGTGAGAAATTTATCACAAAATATAACATATAGTAAATTTACCACAACAAATAACATTGCATTAGAAAGTATTTTTTTACACTTAAATGTTAAATTTACAATTGACACATTAATTATAATATTGCATTGGACATACTCTAACAGTTTAATGAAATTTAATAAGAATCAAGCAATTTGTATTCCATTTCAAATTATACTAAAGGGATGGAAACAATCACGTATTGAGATTCTTAATTTTATATTCTAGACCAAAAGCTTCATGATACATGAAGCAAGCAAGAAAAAAATGTTGTTGCCATTTTTTTTTTTTTTTTTGTGCTGCTACGTTGTTGCCAATTATTAATTATAAAACGCGTCCTTCGCATTAGGGACTGTTCACTTGTCAAAAGTTCACTGCTAAAACCAAAGTCCTGTGTATGAGCCTAAGCTGATTTTAAAACTTTTATCAAAAAGAAATATGAAGCCATGCCGACTTCAAGTATGAAATTCATGAAATAGCCCCGTGATAGTTTTTGAAGCCATTAAGTAAAGACTCCTCATAAATGTTTGTAGTTAAATTAAAGATTTCATGTAGAAAAGATTATTTTCATATCCCATGATAGTTTTTTTTTTCTTTTTTCTTTTTATCTCTTCATGTAGAAAAGATTACATAAGGTCTAAAACTTATATGAGATTGTCAAAACCCAAAAAAGAAAATCTTTAGGGTAGAATATGCTATTTTGCTCCATTAATAAAAGTAGTTATTTTAATCGTTAACGGTCAGAATTGTATAGATCTGTATTAAAAATTTATTGAACATTAAATAAAATTACTCTTATAATAGATCTGGCCGTTAAAAAAAAACGTTTGGTTGATGGATTTAGAATCACGATTCAAAATTATTCTCGATTTACGTGTATTTTTGTAAAAAAAAAATTTATAACGAGTTACGAATCATGATTCAAATCATGACACGAATTCTTGAACTAAACGCACTGTAAATTTAACAATAAAAATACAATTTTCACCGATTAATACCACAAAACTCCTCGGAAAAAAAAAAAAAAAATCCCAGAGAATAGCTACATGTAAGGTACTTACTCACATGTAATGTTCTGAGGGCACATTCTTCAATTTATGATGGAAGTCAAAGTTTACTAAAGTAGGGACCTGCGAAAAGACACCTTGGCTGGCAAATTATTGCCTCTGGCGGGACCAAAGGATGATGATGCCAAGCTTCTCCTTACTCAGATTTTTGTACATTTGCGATGTTTTTCCTTGCATGGTTTAGTCAAATCCATTTCAATTGATCAATGCTTTGTCATTTATATATTGTGCGGATTCAGACTCCAGAGCACACTTTGTCAGTGACTTTTGGCATGTTTTTTGGAACAATCTCTGTCAAAAATTTTCAGTGCAGTAATTTCTGGAGCTACCGGGCAAAATGATCTCGCAAAGAGTACCCCGTTCATCCGCACAGTTGTTAGAATTTGGGACTCTAACGGATGTTTAGACCATCAGTTCAGACCAAATAATTTGAATTAGATTTCAAATTTTTAAAATTTTTATAAAAAAAAAAATAGATAAAATATTGTATTAAAACCCTAAACCGCGGTTCAAATCCTTCTATCAAACTCCAAACAAGCCCTAGAACTTGTGGTTTTGAGTAAGACTTACCATTTGTGAGGGATGTGGATTCAAATCCGTGGAGTGAATATTATTTTTTTCCCTCCAAAATGACAGTGGGAGATATTTACGTTTATTGGCTTGTTAGTTTGTGTTTTTGAGTTATGGTGACTTGAGTGTAGATCTTAAGTTGAATTTAAATTATAATTTGAGTTGAAGTTTCAACTTGAGTTTGTATTTAGATATGCACATTTGAGTTATGATTTGAATTGAGACTCTATTTGAGTTTGTGTTTGAATGAGTTAAAACTTGAATTTGTATTTAGAAAATAGTTTAATAAAAACTCAATAGTGATGAAAAATTTTGATAGGGTATATGAGTGAGGTTTTATTTGTTTCTTCGTTATGAATACATAAAAAAAATCATCTCAATCGGAATTAAAACGAAAAAGTTTAAGTTTTGAGTTTAAGAACTTGAGTTAAAGAGAAAATTTGAACTCAAATTCAAGTTAAAACTCAAGTTCAAACTCAAATTTTACAAACAAACATAAATTTAAAAAAAGTTGTAACTTGAATTTTAATTTTTTTTTGAGTTTTACTTTAAAAGAACAAGCCTCGTAATTCCTGGCTCCAACTTGATCTTGTGATCAATGGCACCCTAGGAGGCCACACCTTCAGGTACCCTGAGGCTTCAAGCACCGTAACGACCTGATTAGAGACTTCTACAGCTTGGTCCAGTTCTACCTTAACCATTGCAACAACGATAGCTGTTTCCCCCAACTTGATGCCTGATTTCAATTGAGCAGCTGATTGCAACAATGGCCTCTTTGTGACCGGTCCACCATTCTCAACAGCCACAATACGAGGACAACTCTTGTTAGCAACAAACAAGCCACCTAGATGTGGCATGGCTATGAATTTAGCTTAAGCAAAAAAACTCAGCTCACAATAATTTTTTTTTTTTTATAAAGTTTTTTCTTTCTTCTTTACTTATTTTTTCCTCTATTAACCATTTTGCAGTGATAATATTGATTTTGCAGTGAGTGATCTCACCGCTCAATCCTTTATTCCCGTCCCCTTTCATGTTCATCTAATATCAATGGAAAAGGTGTTTTATTTTTATTTTTATTTTTATTTTTTTTAAGAAATCGACCCCAAATAACCAGGTGGGTACAATACAACCCCCTAGTTACCAACCTGTGTAGTTAATTTACTATTTCACCCATAAATGCTATATTTCAAATTGCAGTCATGTCAACATGTTTAACGTCAATAGAACGTTTCAAAAGTTGAGGTTGTAGATCAATTTAAGAAGTTCAGAACAAAGTGAAAACATACTAGAATTCGGGGGCAAAAATAAAACCTGCCCTCATTTCTATGATGATTACAGGTTTTATCTAACATTGCGCGTATAAATGTTTTTCCTTACTGCACTTTAATCAAGACTACGTTCAATACAAAATACACACAACCAAACCAATACGAATAAATTCGTTAGTCACTATAATCCCTTCACAGAGATCTTTTACGATAAACTATTTTTGTCAGTCGTGACTCGTGATTCTTCAAGTAACATACGTAGATATGTACGAGACCTTTTTACCCATGCGCATATCAGAGCACTATTTCAATACGAGAAAAATACGACCATACACGTCAATAATGCAAATAACCGGACTTTTTTTTTTTTTTTTTTTTTTTTTTTTTTTGTTGCCGTGTCTTTGCTGATGTCTGGAAATTTCTACAGAAAACGTTCGCTTAATAGCCTTGTCTTCTGAAAAACTCGGGATAAATTCCCAGAAATCAACTGCGATTCACTAATCAAAGATGGATAATGACCACATAATTAAATTTTCAGCAAAAGACTACTTCTTTTGCCACAGAAAATAGCACAACAGGTTAAGAAAAAATTGAAGTACAGGGTTTTAAACTTCAAATGGTATTAGCGTAAAGAAAAATTGCAGCAAAACTTCCTTCCAGGAGATGGAACCTATTCCAGACGGTTATAATAAGAGCTCAATCCATAAGAACAGGGGAAACATAAGTAACTGAAGCAATGTTTTATAAATGAGAATACCCCCCATTTTCAAAATAAATTAAGTTAGCCCGCCATCTACTTTATACTCTTGTAAAGAATACAACACAACTGTCCTGACTGGCTTGAGTGAATGGCACTCCAGAGAATCCTTGTCTTGCAGTCTGAATAAACTTTGCCAATATATTTGTAAGCATAAACGTCAAAAAATCATGCACCATTAATTGCGGTCGTCTGATCTTAAAATGCCATCCGACCAGCAAGTCTGCTTTCCGATATCCTTCTGTCAATGGCTGCATCAATTGAGCTCATCTGAAACATAAAACCACGTTAGAGGATGATAAGACAGGATTTTCGAGCACCAAGCGCTTGATCATGTGAGATATTATATATTTGCTTGGTCCTATACAAGAGATGCCAAACTTGTGAAAGAAGCTGACCTGGGCCAAGTCTGAATTCACTGTTCGATCATAAAGTAAATAGTAATCATGCTACAAATGAGCGAATAACGGTTGGGTTTGATTGTGTTCCGCTCAAACCGTCCGCAGTTCAAAGTTGAGTATAGGGAGAAGAAATAACATGGTACATCCAAATTTTATAAGCAAAAATAGTCTGTTTTTAAGTGAGAATGAACTTAGGTTGAAGAATGCTCGAGTAGATCGTAGCAATTCCTTCAAATATGTAATTACTAACAGAAAAGGTAACGTAAATACCTACTTGAATCTTTTGGTGCCCACAAGAATGGTTGCATTGCGTGCAAACAGGAGGATGGCAGTTTAAAATATAACAGCATGCCCCTCAACCAAATAGGGTTTGTAGCAGAAAGATGGATTATTTAAAAAGTATTATTACTAAGTGTGCCCTTTCATTTTTTTCCCCTTTTTTTTTCATTTTTTTAAACAAAGAAATAGGAATTCATACAGAAATACCTTTATAAACAAGAAACAACGCGTAAATAACTGAATCTGAAAACATGAAACATAAAGCCTACCAATCTGGTTAGAGAAGCTCCAACAATTAAAGAGGTAGTATAACTTACCTGGCTAGTTTCATCATGCACCTGATACTTCACTAAGGACATTCTTCTTTCTTCCTGCAAACATATCAAGAAAACACATGGTAATAAGATAGAATGAGTACTTTCAGAAAAAAGCTGTGCAAGAATGTGAATAAATAGATCCTTAACACACAGAAATACTCACCATTGACATAGCCTCGTCATCCCAAACCAAATAGACCTCATTTGTTGCTGGCTGGGTAGCATGGGCTTTATTTGATATGACAGGGGGAGGTCCAATTGACGGTCCACCAGTATTTGGACCGGAGGCATATGAATGTGAATTGCTTAGTGGCCCGCCTAATGCAATACAACAAAACAAATTAAAATTAAATTTCATTGTATTTTTTGGGCGACCACTAACCATAGTGGTGGTATGGGGGGTTTTAAGATTTAGTGCAAGGTGGACTACTTGAGCCAAGTTTAACATGTTTAGCCAAGAAACTAAGCAAGCATTAAAGATTATTACATGTACACTAAAAATAGGCTAATCAAACAAACAGCGTATAGTATTTTTATGATGGAAGTCATTATCACTTATCATGTGTACTACAGAAACGCTGGTACGTAATCATCATCACTTTATGTTGGAACTTGAAAGAGTATTCCAAGTCACTAATGTGTTTTCTCCTTTTCAGTGCTAATGGTCTTCTCTGTATTCTCTTCGAGAACTCCTTGTCCTCAAAGAGTTTATTTTTCATTGTCACAATTTTATTTTTGGTAATAAAAGTTCGTTTTTTTAATCAATCAAAAAACATCTCCTTAATTTTATCCAATAATAAAGTAAACGATCTATTTGTAAGATGTAGCAATACTTACCATTCAAGATTGTAATAACAGGCCAAGTAGCAAGCAACTGTAATTTTCTAAGCAATGCCCTTCCTTTTTGGCTAAGATGGAAACAATCCTTTCAATTGATTGTATAATATAATAAAATTACGTAATCCAATTATAATGATGCACCTCTATATTTAAATTAAATTCTTAATAATCAGGAATACGTAATCCAATTATAATGATGCACCTCTATATTTAAATTAAATTCTTAATAATCAGGAATACTGCTTTGTCTTTACCAGAAAGACAACTGGTTCATATCATGGCTCCCGCCTCATATGTTGCCCTGTTGTTCCTCTTATTGTTCTTTTATTCTGCTCAATTTATTTTTTTGTTGTCCAGGCCACAAACGGATAATATAATAATTGGCACCTTTGAGTTATGCAGAAGTGTTTGTCCCTTCTTTCCTAATCGGCTTAAATAAGAAAGGGAAAAAGATTTGGCACTTTGCTATTTCCTATGTTGGGAAATGATGGTTAGAACGAAAAATGAGTATTTTCCAAGACCTTATTTGTTTAGAAAGTGAACTTTGAGAGTAAGGGAAGTTTTGGGTAGCTATATGATTTGACTAAGGGAAAGACCTTTGTAATTTCAATTTGTTAGATTTGGTCAGGGATCGGAATTTTCTGATGCAGACTTTTTGCGTTTTTTCAATTTGTTTTAGTTGGAGGACTAAAACTAATCATTGTCTTCATTAAACTTTTTGTTTACTAAAAGTCTTTGTTTTGTATATTTAATACATCTTATTTCAGCTTTAGACCAGGCTGGCCTTTGGGTGCACTTCCGTGCCAACCGGCAACAACAGGGAAGTGAAGGCCAGCCATTTTCCAGGACAGGATAATTATCTGGTCAGTTCAAGCTTTGGCTTATAGGATCTGGCCCTTTTATATGACTGGATCAAATTATAAAGCAGAACCAAATTTCAAAGAATTTGTTATAAATCCAGTTTGCTATTTATTTGGACGTGATTTCTAATACTGAGACTATATCAATCTTCAAAAACTACAACTACGATAGCAACTAGCAAGCATGAATTGATTATTTTAGCATGACTAATGCCAAGTCTAGAAAAATTTAAATCTTGAAGTATAGGAGCTACTTTTCTGGAAGTCTTACCTAAATTTCCATCTAGTGAGGCTTTAGTGTCTACTATTGAGCCTGGAGGGATGCTTGTTGAAATCAATGAAGCAGAAAACGGTGTATTTTGAGCAGGTATATTGTTGTTACCACCAACAGGAAATAAGGGCTGTGATGGAGGAGGTGCTGACGTGGGCAGCCCAGGAGGAGCTATCTGCGCAGGTTGGAGAGTAGGTGGTGCTGATGATGGTACAGGAGGCCTCACATTCTGCACTGGAAACAACGGCTGCTGTGCATAACCCAATGGAGCAGGTGGAGGAATTGAGACCGCCGGAGGTTGCGGATACCAAGGCTGAGGACGGGGAGGAAAAGGCCAAGCAGTAGGTGGCCCTGGTACTGTAGTGTTGTAACTGGCATCAAACAAGATTCAATATTAAATAAAAATAAATAAATAATAAAAAAATCATACAAATAAATCACTTACGAGTCAAATGAAATGCTAAAATACACAAGATCTATTCTACCAAAGACTAACAGCATTAACAGCACAAAATCTTCTGAAAGCATACATACATGGGTTGCATCGCTCCTAAAGCTGGTTGAGGATACGCAATGCCCAATGATCCAGGCACCATAGGAGCAATGGGGGTTGATGGAATATCCACTTTGGCTACTTTTGATGCAGACTCTTCTTCTGCTAAAATTTAAGATTTGTCAAAAATCAAGACAGAGAGAATTTGACATGAAAAAAATTTAGGAATTATAACTATGTAATAGTTTTTGCCTCTATAAAGAGTAAGACACAACCACGATAGAAAACAAAAAGAAGTAAGAGAGAGGGTCAGTTAATAAGTTTCTGTGCACACAAAGAATTTAACATAAAATAACTTTCACAGTTCCATCCATATTAATGTGGGGGAAACGCTATTTGGTTAAAATGTTATCGGGCAACCGCTTAGTCTAGTGGCACCGGGGGTGTGGGTGGGATGGGGTTTGGAGAGAAGGTTGCAGGTTCAATCCCGTATTGTCATTGTATTGAAAGAAAATTTATCGGGCAAGACAAATTTGTTTCTAATACAAGCCATACTAACAAACCTATAACCTCAACCTCATTGTGACAAGGCTAAAGAGTAAGACACGACAGGCATCGCAAACAAAAAGTAAGAGAGAGGGTTAGTTAATAAGTTTCTATGCACACAAAGAGAATTTAATATAAAATAACTCAACCCAAGAAGGGAGTACTTGTGTTTGGTCGTTGTATGTATTGGATACATATTGGCATATACATACATATTTATATATATGTATATATAATTATATGTGTGTGACGCTTGTGTATGTAAGTACCTATAGAGTATGTAAAGAATACACACACCCACACACACATATGGAGCCGCTCCGCTCACATTATTCCTATGAGAATCAGGATGACTGTTTTTCTTTTTTTATTTTTCCTTGAAACAAAAATAAAATATAGTTTCAATATGATAAAGAAAAACCTAGTCAGTACCAGAAATTAAGCCGAGACATGTTAATAATTGAAACTTCTTTATTTATTTATTTCACAAGAAATAAAGATGTTTATCGTTGAAAAGATAAAATAAAAGAGAGGACTAGCATTCCACCTTCAGCAAAGGAAAAAGAGAAACGAGAAAACAAGATCAACAACTTAACAACGTCTGAATTACAAGTAACAAAAACATTAAGTATTTAGGAAGGGAACCAGGTCAAAATCTAGCATAATGACCCAACGCAAAACTTAGTTATCTAGCTGTTTATTCGCAAAGAAATTTACCATATAAAGAGGTACGGAATAACTTCATGGTGAAATTGATGATTGAATACTTACCTTCTTCTCCGTAATGTGCAGCCAAGATGTCAGCTGGGATTCCTTGCATTCCATAGATTTCAATGTCAGTTGATTCTCTACCAGGTTTTGCATTAGGAACCCTGACAAGTAGTAATGAGCAAATGAACAATCATCAGCAGACTACAAAAATATTAACAGAGTACAACAGAATCATAGATAAGCACGGCAAAATATATTAACCTCTCAGGAGGAAAAGAAACAAAGAAAAAAACTATAGGAAGATATAGACATTCTCTCCTAGAAATTCCAAAACCTCCAAAAAAAACTACCAAAACAGAATAAAATAAAATGGAAAAAAAAAAACACACACACACACACACACAAATTAGAGGGGCTATCTAGTGTCCTTGAAAGAACCAACCATCCAAAGGTCAAGGCTCTAGGTAAGTGGTGATACCGTATGTCACATAACATAACCACTCCTTTTGGCAGGATTTGCTAAATTTCACTTCAACATGAGGGCAATACATCGGCACGAGCATCCTTGGGATGCTCACACCTCTTATAAGTGATGACCAAAAAATGCAAAATGCTTTTCCCTGTGTGCATTCTATCTGAAACAGGAGATCATAAGCATAATTCCTGACCAGGAACAATAATGTTCAAGAATCTATATATGGTCCTTATTATGCTCTAAAAAGCAGATTTATACCAATCCAACAATCACTGTTTTGTCTATTCCAGACATCTGCTCTGAAGTGTCACTCGATGCCTGCCTCTCTCCAGCAATCTATATTCTTTACTTTGATTACTACTCATAGCAACCGCATACTCTCGGAAACAATTCTTCTCTAGCCACTTTGTACCAAAATCATGTACCCTTTTTCCGCCTAGTAAAAGACTGTCTGAAGTATTTTTTAAGCCTTTAGCCTCAAGTAGCCCATTTGAAGCTACATTCAGATAAATGACCTCTGCAATTGCTTTCTTTCTTTTTCTTCCCCCCCCCCCCCCCCCCCCCCCCCCCCCTCTCCCCCCTCCCTCTCACCCCTTTTTTCCCCCCCCCCCCCCCCCCCTCTCTCTCTCTCTCTCTCTCTCAAAAGTCTCCTATTTGGATCTCAAATCAATATCATCCTTCTACACCAAAACTCCCAAATTTATTCTGTAACTTTCATAAAATTTAAAAAACCAATTTCACATTCCAAGCCTCAAACGCTGGACACAAGGACACATACCCAGATTTCAAAAGTGTCTAATATTAACTGCTTTCTAAAAAAATTGCTGCCTTTCAGCTATTGTCAGTGAGAGCAATGCAGATAAAAACACGACTGCACCGCATTAGCCATCAACAAATAGTCAAATACATATAGAGATCCAAAACACAGAGATATCTCCATGTAGTCATTAACTTATTAGCTGCTACGGCCACGGCCAACTAATCATTGCACGCATATCACACTGTTCTTACAAAATCAATATACCAATTTCACATTAACACCATTAAAAAAATTATATCCTTTTATGGTTTCTTTTCTTAATTTCCTTACATTAATTGACACGGCATAAAGAAAATCCATCACGATCAACCAAATTAAACGGAAGAAGAAAAAAAAATTCCCGTACTCCTGTAGTATAACCAACGAAATTTCACACGAAAATTATGATAAATTCAATCAAATACATGGGCGGAAACAAAGATTTGTGAATAAAAATAGGAAAATAAAGAAAATTAAATTTTCCAAAGGGTCTTAGAGAGAGAAAAAGAAAGAGAGAGAGAGAGGACGAACTTGGTAACGGACTCCTTGTGGACCTGTAGGACATGAATGGCCATGCCGCCGGCGGTGGAGAGCTTCTTATGGCAGACATGGCATTTGAAGTGCTTGGCCTTCTGGTGCTGCACCAAAATCTTCTCGTCATCGAACTCACGGTCGCAATAGTAGCACCAAACCTTCGACGAAACTCTCTTCTTCTTCTTTCCCATTCTTTTTTCTAAGCAAAGCTATAGCTAGCTAGGGCTAGGGCTAGGGCTAGGGCTAGGGCTTTTCTGATGTTTTCTGATCGGCGCTGAGATGGAGATGGAGATTGGAGGGCTCTTCTCTTCTTTTTCCTGCTCGCTTCCCCTTCCCCCCTCCGCTTCGCTTCCTTCGTTTAGGTGTTTGGGGTTTCAACTCCCCTGATCTGTGATTTTATTTATTTATTTTTGGGAAGGGTGATTTTATTTATTTACGAGAGACTTTTAAGTTTAATCATTATTTTTTTAATTTTATTATTTATATCATTAAATAAAATTTTAATATTATTATGAAAAATAATCTGTAAAATATGAAAAAAAAATAACGTGTAAATCACAAAAAATAATATGTAAATTATGAAAAATAACTTATAAAATATGAAAAGATAATCTATAAGATGAAAAAATTATGAAAAGATAATTTATAAGATGAAAAAATAACATATAAATTATTAGTTCTATAAGAAAAATTTAACAATTGAGCTGATTGCGAATGTTTTCATTCGCTAGAAGCACCTTAGAAAGAAGATCTTTACGACGCAAAAACTACTTTGTGACCTCTTCAAAGTTGGGGTTTGCACGTAACCAGTGATACAAAACCTGCAGCCACTTGGAGAAGAAAAACTTCTCCATCACATCGACCATAAGATGGACCGGTATAACAGGAGCCCAACTTGTGACCCAATAAAACTGATCAAGGTTCTGCTTTGCCGGGTTCACCTGGAACTCTTGCAAGACAAGCTGCAGTTTGGGAACTATGAATCTTCGCATGAGTTCTTCCCAACTGGCTGACTCGAACACAGCCTTCCAAGGCGAGAGTATAGTAAATGCAGAGCCATCACTAGGATGCCAAGATCAAGAGAATTGGCTGAATCCGGTGAAATCATTTTCATAAAAGCTCATTGATATCCTCTTTTTATAAAGCAAATTAACTTCGATTCTTGAATAATCCACATCACAAAAGATTCACTTTTTATGTGAAAAATAGCCGTATTAATAATTATGATTTTACGCATAGACAATTAATTCATCCATATCTTGTTCATTCGCAACAAAATATTTTCTTTGCGCGGCGGTAAAAGAATATTGCTCAACTTGGAGCATATTGTTTGATATACATCCTCCAACTTGTGTCCCAGCAGAGGTAGCCACTGAGTGCATCCAGACATGGATAGGAACAGTCTCTCGGTGCGGCTCCCATGAGTCTACGACATTCTTTAATTTCGGCAAGACTATGTCATCCAGTATTCTATCAAGAACTGAGGAGGGCAGCAACTTTTCCCAATAATCCAAAAATTTGAGCATCGGTTCAGGGTCCCTGGCCTGCCAAGTATTAACACCAGATATTCTTACTGCGGCCACCACAACCTCAAAAACCAACTGAGAATAAATCTTAGAAAGAAGAGCAATAATGATTTTGCAATTTGAGTATGATGTGGTAAAATATTTCTTTTGATTTCAATTTTTAGATATATTGTCTAAACAGTATTTAGATCTGTGTCTGTTTTATTAGATTATGTCAAATCTAGGTTGGATTAAAGTTACTACAGATGGTTTTGAGATATGTCCTCCTGATGCTACTGCTTGTTGGGAAATTTTTAGAAATTTTTAAGGTTGTTTGTGACTACTGTAGTATTTTATAGGACAGTGTTTTGCTTTTGTAGTTGAGCTTTGGGCTGCAGTGACCAAGAAAAATCCCATAATTTTAATAATATAATTCATGTATTCAAGTCAAGGATTTTCCTGGAAAATCATTATACTATATACATTTTGTGATTGAAGGATTTAAGGAATTAACATCTGCATTCCTAAATTCTGTAGCAGATTTCACGTTAAGTTCACAATTTTTCGATCAAGTAAATTCGATCGATAAATTCTTACCGTACTTTAAAACGGAAGAATTTCTAGTACAGATACAGCTTGAGAACATTAATTTTAAGAATTTCCAAGCACAATACAAACTAGCATCCAGTACCCGCATACAGGAGAAAATAGCTGTCAGTATAATTTTGGACAGTTTAATGAGTAAATTTAGAAAGTAGACAAAGGTACAAGGGTTAGGTTTCATTTTTCTCTTTCCTTCCTTCACTTGGCCGGCCAAACTTAAGGGATTATGGCAAAAAATTTGGCTAGTGAAGTGTGCTACATGGACTTCATGATGGGATTGAGTCAAATCAACTATTGGACATGAAATGCTACATCACCCCCTCTTGAAACACTCCACCGGCCAGCCACAATAAAGGGGGGGATTAATCCAAAAATCTAGCTAATTAAGCTAGTTTGGTAGACTTAAATGAGAACTAAGATGAGATCAAGTAATGTCTATAAAGGTGAGACCATTAGTGCAAGCATTAGGTTAGCCATTTTGCACATCTCCTCTCATTTTCCCCCACACCCAAACCGGCCACACTCCTCCATTTTCCCCTCAAATATTTTCTCCTACTCTCTCAATCTTGAGCCACTACAAACCATAGAAGAAGAAGAAGGAGATCAAAGGGTCTAGGAGGAGTCTAGACAAGCATTTTTTTCAAAGGGTATAACTCTAAATCCTTTTTTTATGTTTTAGTAAAGTTTGAAATGTAGAAATATTCCTCTTAAATTTCCTTATACTTTCTAGTTCCAAGCCAATAACAAATCTTAGAAGAGTTCAAGGTTTTCAAGGGAGAGAGATAGTTCTTCAAGGGTAAGCTCTCAAACTCTTCTCCATTAATTTCTAGCCAACTTTAAGCTTGGATTTGTGGATGTAAATTTGAGGTTCTTGAGGAGATGAGTTGTAATAAGGGTGTGTGAGTTTTATGTTGGTTTGGTGAGTTTTGAGGTTAGCTTGATGTGGTATGTTTATGCTTGATTTAAGTTGCTTATTTTC